TCTAAAAGAGACCAACCACTGTCAAAGGATTTTATAGATATTTTAAAAGAATTAAAAAACTTGGGTTTATTTTGTCTTAGTTTTGGATACAACGTTGCAAACATTCCATGTGTCAGTCTATCTCGTAATATTGGGTGCACCCAAAATTCTCTTTGCCTCTGCCATCGTCTTTTATAGCGACGATGGAGGAGGGACACACAAGCAATTACTTTCACGTCCATTTCCAAACTGAGCCAGTGCGTATGCTCCACTAAACGCTCGTCTAACGCCGAGCTAACGCCTGGTGTGTACGCCGCTAACGCGCGTTTAACGCAACGCAAAACGCCTAGTGTGTACACAGCCTAAGGACAAACGGACGACAGTGGGAATTTATAGGTCTACAATTTTTTTTCAAATTGCAGCCCAATCAAAAATCCGTTCTGTGAAGCGTTTTATTATCTACTTGTATTATGTTTGTAAGCTGCAGCTCTAAGCGAACATTTTATATGAAATGAAGTCCGAGAAGTTTAAACCATTTGATGCAGTGGTAAAGTGAATTTTGTTTAAAGATTATAGGAACACACTCTATAGTTCATAGTGTTTTTTAAAGATTTGTGATTTAACATTTCTCAAGTCGTTTCGAAACACGGTGTTGCATAAGATCTCCTCATGTAGGCTATATCTAAAGTGTCTGCTTACAAGGCGAGCAGCACAAATAGCCTATTCGTTATTTCGTATCTATCATTTATTAATTCTCAACGCTGGATTAGGATGATATTATCTATTATTCTCGCAGTGAATTCTCATTAAGGATGCTAAATATCATTTATCATCATAATGAAGAACTTCTGTACATAGGCACGTAGCCTATGTACTGGATTTTCTCTTAATTCCTTCGTACAGTTTATAGGCAGTTAGCGAACCTCTACTCCACACTCAGAAAAATTATATTTTGTTATGAAATACTAAAATGCTAATCAGATAAGCCTCTGAAAACGGCTAGTGTTTTTCAATGAATGTCCAATATTTTCTACTCGCTCTTCCACTATTCCCACTTTTGGAATTAAGTGTGGAAAGTTAAATAAATAGGCTACGATATATTTAAATATCGGATGGATCTCTCAAACTGACCTACGCTCTATCCCTCAGTCAGCAACTCCGAAGTTCCAATAGTTTTCATCTGTAAAATATAACATGAAATAGATATTACTTAAATACGCGTGTGTGTGTAATTAAATGTGTATATATGTAGACACACAATTATTATAGAATATATATTGAATTTAAAATTAAATTTTACCGTGTTCTTGGGAAATAATTCGATTTCCGGAAATTTTTTATTTGTGAAAACTTTACTCTTTGTGCAAGAGAAAACTTCGCGATTTCTAATAAATTCGGATTGAAGAACTTTTTTTCGTTTTTAAAGAAGAAAAATAATTTTAAGAACAATTTTACAATTGATATAATTTTCTATTTCGCTTTACGAAACTCATCTCTGTGGACTTTTACGTAGTTAAATATTTAAGAATCATTCCGGATAAATTGATCGAACACGAACATTTCTTCAAAAACAGAGTTCGATTACGTGGACTGCGTGGGACTTTCCAAACGAGTTTCGAACTCCCACGCCTTCGGAAATATTTCAGATATTTTGTAATTCTATTCTATTAGTAGCGGACAATGTCCAAGACGACGATCGCATTTTAATTTCGTGCATTTACTCCATTTTCAAGAAAATGTTAAAATAATATAAATAGATTAACACAATCTGTTGACGTTTACGCGTCTACCAGTTTACGACCACCACATTTAACATATAAAAAATTATTCTACAAAAAAATATTGAAAATATTTTTGCGAATACGCGTATTATTATTCAAAACAACTTTTTAGTAAATATTTTAATTTAAAAACAATATTCTTATCTTTTAAACAAAGAGATTAATGCTATTATAGTGATAAAAATGATTCGGGGGAAACAAAAACGAATGTCTCGGTCAATAATCAATCGATTCGAAAGATTTTATAACGGATAATTCGAGGAAAAAGATAAAATGTTATAGTTTTAGAACTAAAACATTTTATCGGTTACTGTATTAGTTTTATCGCGTGAATTTAACAAAATTGAATACAAAACGTGTAACAATTATTGTCCAAAATTAATCCGAACATCAATCTCGAGAGAAATGCGAAACATGCTCAATTAATTTAAAGAAATGTAGTGTGCATATATCATCATCGTGAGGTTAAGAAACGTTACCATCAAATATAACGTTTTTGATATATGGCAATTTTAAAATAAATGTCGTCGACGGAGATAAAGAAATATCAAAATTGATGAAATTTTCTGTTTGTCTGGACTCAGAATCGATCATGAATACCAGCTGTTTCGATATTCAACAATTTCTAGATGCAAATATATCTTCCGGAGTTGAATTTTTCTCCTATATAACATATGCATTATTATTATTATTATCCGATACAAGTTACTAACAAAATAAGACCAGATAGCTGGAGAGATTCCTTATATCTATACAAGTTAATAAATGCGTATTACTGATGAAATCTTGTTGTCATAATAATGTACACTTGCATCGATTTGACGTAATTTCTACTTTTTGGTATTTAAAGTGAAAAATGACGTCAAACTGGCATAATGTACTCTATTCCCGACAGTTCTTTATACTATATCGATAAGAAGACTAAAGTGTTTGTTCGTAACACAATATCTCGTGTTTATTTGCTATTTTTAAATACAACGTATGGCTAATATGCAAACAGTATAAATTCTGGAGGAAAAAAATATTGCTAGTATCAATTTTGTCGTGATTTATTATTATTACAGTACAATTTCAATTTTATAGGCGACACCGACGCTATTTAATTTCTTTATTAAAGAAAAATAAATTTACATTAAAATATACATATTGTATTGTATATGGATAAAATATTTAAACATATAGGTCTGGATAATTTCAATTACAAATACCTGAAGTTAACTATAACTACAATTAGATAGAGATCATGAGTTTAAAATATTAAAGGGATATAAGAAATTTTTAACAATTATTTTACGATAAAAGCTGTTATTGTGCTGGTGGTATAGGGTACACATCAAAAAAGTTCATTGTTCCAAACAATCTATACACAGTGGTGTGCTGTGACATTTGATGACAGGGAAGCTGTGTTTCCATAAAAATTTTAAACAAATACTGGAAATGACAAAAATAAACACTATTTATTTTAATTCTAAAATATATAATTGACACGAAACAAAGATATAAGAACTTGTTTTCATTATTTTTTATAAACTAACTCGTTTCCACAATTTTTTTCTGCAAAGTTGTTAATTACAGTACTTTATCATAAAAATCGCTTGTGGTTGATTTCATCAAAGTATTTAAAAGCTTTTTCTATCGAAAGCAAGGCTAGTGATGACAATCTTTCCTCTGACTGAATGTTCCTTGCAAATGTATGAATTTGCTTCATGGTTGAAAAATTGCACTCAACAGATGCACTGGTAGATGTAACAGACGTAAAAATTAATAATATTAAATCATACAATTCTTTTAATACATCTTTATTCGGATCGCCATTACTTATAATATATTTTATATCTAAGAGTGACTTGCCAATATAGTCTGTACATGAATATAAATATTGAAATTCACTATATAATTAAGGCAAATCAAAAAATTCTCCATACAATTTACTTAAAGAATTAACTCTCTTCAGAAAATTGTTTTTCATAATAATCAAAATTATTAACATCTAAAAGTGATAAAAATTTTAAAGATTTTGTCTGAAAATTTGTCAGTACAATTTTGTATCAATATATGCATTATTTCATGAAATGGACATTTATATAACACCTTTTTAGACCAATATGTGTTTTTTTTTTTTTTTTTTTTT